GGTGAAGTGGTTGTAGTTGAACCTGTAGATGTCATAGTAGTGGGGGTTGTTGAGGTTGTAGTTGAACCTGTAGGTTCAAGTACAGATGTAGATGTAGACATTTGATTTGTTGAGGTTTTAATGGGAGGTGATGTGGTTGTAGTTGAAGCTGTAGATGTTGATGTAGTGGGGGTTGTTGAGGTTGTAGTTGAACCTGTAGGTTCAAGTACAGATGTAGATGTTGAAATCTGTGTTGTTGAGGTTTTAATGGGAGGTGATATGGTTGTAGTTAAACCTGTAGATGTTGTAGTGGGAGTTGTTGAGGTTGTAATGGGAGGTGATGTGGTTGTAGTTGAACCTGTAAATGTTGTTGTAGTGGGGGTAGTTGAGGTTGTAGTTGAACACGTAGGTTCAAGTACAGATGTAGATGTTGAAATTTGAGTTGCTGAGGATTTAATAGGAGGTAATGTGGTTGTAGTAGAACCTCTAGATGTTGCTGTAGTGGGAGTTGTTAAGGTTGTAATGAGAGGTGTGGTTAAATTTGAACCTGTAGATGTTGTAGTAGTGGGGGTTGTTGAGGTTGTAGTTGAACCTGTAGGTTCAAGTGCAGATGTAGATGTTGACATTTGATTTGTTGAGGTTTTTAAAGGAGGTGAAGTGGTTGTAGTTGAACCTGTAGATGTTGTAGTAGTGGGGGTTGGTGAGGTTGTAGTTGAACCTGTAGGCTCAAGTACAGATGTAGATGTTGAAATCTGAGTTGTTGAGGTTTTAATGGGAGTTGATGTGGTTGTAGTTAAACCTGTAGATATTGAAATTTGAGTTGCTGAGGATTTAATAGGAGGTAATGTGGTTGTAGTTGAACCTGTATATGTTGTAGTGGGAGTTGATGTGGTTGTAATGGGAGGTGATGTGGTTGTAGTTGAAACTGTAGATGTTGTAGTGGGAGTTGATGTGGTTGTAGTTGAAACTGTAGATGTTGATGTAGTGGAGGTTGTTGAGGTTGTTGTTGAACCTGTAGGTTCAAGTACAGATGTAGATGTTGAAATCTGAGTTGTTGAGGTTTTAATGGAAGGTGATGTGGTTGTAGTTGAACCTGTTGATGTTGTTGTAGTGGGGGTTGTTGAGGTTGTACTTGAACCTGTAGGTTCAAGTAGTAAGGTAGATGTTGAAATTTGAGTTGCTGTGGATTTAATAGGAGGTAATGTGGTTGTAGTTGAACCTGTAGAAGTTGTTGTAGCGAGAGTTGTTGAGGTTGTAATGGGGGGTTTTGGGGTTGTAGTTAAACCTTTAGATGTTATTGCAGTGGGAGATGTTGAGGTTGTCGTTGAACACGTAGGTTGAAGTACAGATGTAGATGTTGAAATTTGAGTTGCTAAGGATTTAATAGGAGGTAATGTGGTTGTAGTTGAACCTCTAGATGTTGTAGTCGGAGTTACTGAGGTTGTAATGAGAGGTGTTGTGGTTGTATTTGAACCTGTAGATGTTGTTGTAGTGGGGGTTGTTGAGGTTGTAGTTGAAACTGTAGGTTCAAGTACAGAGGTAGATGTTGAAATTTGAGTTGCTGCGGATTTAATAGGAGGTAATGTGGTTGTAGTTGAATCTGTAGATGTTGTTGTAGTGGGAGTAATTGAAATTGTAATGGGAGGTGATGTGGTTGTAGTTGATCCTGTGGATGTTGTTGTTGTTGGGTTTGTTGAGGTTGTAGTTGAACCTGTAGGTTCATGTACATATGTAGATATTGAAATTTGAGTTGCTGAGGATTTAATAGGAGGTAATGTGGTTGTAGTTGAACCTGTAGATGTTGTTGTAGTGGGGGTTATTGAGATTGTAGATGAATCTGTAGGTTCAAGTACAGATGTAGATGTTGAAATTTGAGTTGTTGAGAATTTAATAGGAGGTAATGTGGTTGTAGAAGAACCTGTAGATATTGTTGTAGTGGGAGTTGTAGAGGTTGTAATGGGAGAAGGATTTGTTGTTTTTGAACCTGTAGATGTTTTAGTAGTGGGGGTTGTTGAGGTTGTAGTTGAACCTGTAGGTTCAAGTACAGATGTAGATGTTGACGTTTGATTTGTTGTTGTTTTAATAGGAGGTGAAGTGGATGTAGTTGAACCTGTAGAAGTAGTTGTAGTGGGAGTTGTTGAGGTTGTAATGGAAGGTGTTGTGGTTGTAGTTGAACCTGTAGATGTTAAAGCAGTGTGAGCTGTTGAGGTTGTAATGGGATCTGATGTGTTGTTAGTTGAACCTGTAGATGCTGTTGTAGTGGGAGTTGTTGAGTTTGTAATGTG